TCCCACAGCCATGGAAAAACTGATATGCTTCACTGACTTGTCCGACTTGATTGCTTGGAAAAAGGGTGCCACAACCAGCGAGCAACACCAGCTGGTTCTCCCTGCTGCCCCCCGCACCTTTTCCCAGTTGCTTGGCTTAGAAAGACAGCACAGGCAGTGGGAGACCGTAGGGCAGCTCCTAAAACAGGTATGGAGGGGGAAAGGGAAAAAAACCCCACACCAAAGCTTTCTGTGCCCGATTACACTGCAGCAACTCTTAAGAAAAATTAAGTTCTCTGTTGAGTTGGGATGCTTCTGTCACAAGCAAACCCACATTGTAGAATTATGTAAGGCCCCATGAAGCTCCAGTACCCTTTTCACGGTTTAAAAGTTTTTGTGGCCACAATAGGGACTAGAAATTATTCTTTAAAGGCAAAAACTCGAGTGGTGGTTGTTGTTGTTGACCCAGTGCTCACTGCTATCTTCTGGAGCTCAGGTGCAGCGTGTTACTGTGTCCAGGTTGACAGAAAAAACTAGTACCCTGTTACAGGACTGTTATCAGCAATTACTCCCCCCCTAGTAAAGTTAGGGGTTGTTGCTGTAGACCAGAGGTTTTCACCCCGCGATGTGCCAGTGGGCTGTTCACACAAAGTTTATATATAAAGGCGAAAGATTAATGCCTAACATTAAATGTTGCTTTTTAGCCATCCCACAGTTCACACCATCGTTGGGGAGTTTAGGGCTGTAGTTGAGAGGGGGCGGGGGGGGAAGAGGGCAAAAAAACAGAAAGGGAAAACGCTGCACTCAGAGGTAGCTTTACAAGAAGCTCCCAAAGCTGCAGAACAGAGCTCCTAAAAGATGTCATCGCTTTAGCACAGGAGCCCTTCTGATAAATGTATCAGGCTAGGTTTTTTGTACTGTGTTGCCTTTGCCATTTTGATAAGCCACTTCCTTCAATAAATTATCTACCCTAAGCCACTTCAAGCATTTTATCACTTTAAGATCTTGCAGCCTGATGAGAGCAGAACTATTTTGTGTTACTTTTTCTCACCCCACGTCCTCAGCAACTAAAGCTCCCTTGTCTTCAGAGTTGGTCTTTTCTCCTCAGTTATTCCTCCGTCATATCTGCTAACAGAATAACAGGGGTGTGAATTTCTTAGGATAAGAGTACATAAAGATGTCCAAAATAATGTTTACTGGACCTCTTTTCCAACTCCTCCCCCATTTCAAACGCACACAAACTATTTTGTGCTCATAAAATTCATAATTTATTTTAATACTTTGTCCTCCATATGCAAGTCTCAAGATTTGTTTCCGTAATACATAAACTATGCCAGCGGAACACATGGGGGGAAAAAAAAGCTTTTCACACTATTAAATCAGTTAATTTCTGCTAGAGAAGAGTCTCAGGCTCCACAGTAAGCTCTGGCTTGTTCTAGCAAGAACATTTTATGCCTGTTCACAGAAGCACGCACCAAACAAAGCCTGGGAATTAATGTAACATACGGGAAGCACAGAAAGCTTTCCCCTTGCAAGAAGCATCCATTACCTTAATGATGTTCCACGTGCTGCATTATCATCAAAAGATCCAACAAGCTACCTTAGCAGAGGGATTGCATTATCCCGATTTATACAGCCAAGAACTGTTACACGTAATGTACTCATAGGTGTTACTTGAATATTTATGCTTTCTCCCCCTCTAAAATAAACTACAGCAATCGGCGCAGAACCCTACTACATTTCCCCTAGTTTCTGCTCTGAGTTTTGTTTTTAGAAAGCGTCTCAAAAAATCACTCTGCTCTTTTTTCTTATTTTTAGGTAATGTTGAGTGTTCTGTGTAGGCAGAGTATTAAGCTGTGACGTTCACTTTATTTGACATAGCTACCAAATGAGCCTAAAAATCCACCCGGATAAAACTCAGGGATGGAAGACAGTATGTAAAGAATGACTGCTGCGTGAGAAATAATAGAGTGGGGGGGAAAAAGAAAAAAAAAACCACACAAAAAAACAACATTTGGAGAAAACAGGCTTAGGACAGACAGCAGTTTTTGAATTGTGGAATATTAAAGATAATTATCAGTCACACTGATTTGTCACTTCCCTGGCTGTCACAAAACCCAAGGATTTTTTGAAAGCAGAATTCCCAACTCTTTCAATCTACTTGGTCTATGACCTTTTCCAGGAAAATACTTGATTGATGGATGACTAAAATAAACCTTTTAGGTGATGGGCAAAAATAATCTTCCATCAAAGGGCTGTACAGGACTCCTGTAGGACTGCTCAGGAATGGGGACAGTCCTACAGGGGTCTTTTAATTTTGACTGCTACAGTGGTCTTATATTGCTGTCTCTCCATACAAATAAAAGTTGTCTTGTGCCATTTAAAATCGTGTTTTGTTTTTAGAAAGCGTCTCAAAAAATCACTCTGCTCTTTTTTCTTATTTTTAGGTAATGTTGAGTGTTCTGTGTAGGCAGAGTATTAAGCTGTGACGTTCACTTTATTTGACATAGCTACCAAATGAGCCTAAAAATCCACCCGGATAAAACTCAGGGATGGAAGACAGTATGTAAAGAATGACTGCTGCGTGAGAAATAATAGAGTGGGGGGGAAAAAGAAAAAAAACAAAAAAACATTTGGAGAAAACAGGTTTAGGACAGACAGCAGTTTTTGAATTGTGGAATATTAAAGATAGTTATCAGTCACACTGACTTGTCACTTCCCTGGCTGTCACAAAACCCGAGGATTTTTTGAAAGCAGGATTTCCAACTCTTTCAATCTACTTGGTCTGTGACCTTTTCCAGGAAAAAGCTTGATTGATGGGTGACTAAAATAAACCTTTTAGGTGATGGGCAAAAATAATCTTCCATCAAAGGGCTGTACAGGACTCCTGTAGGACTGCTCAGGAATGGGGACAGTCCTACAGGGGTCTTCTAATTTTGACTGCTACAGTGGTCTTATATTGCTGTCTCTCCATACAAATAAAAGTTGTCTTGTGCCATTTAAAATCGTATCTGAGAAAGGAACTCTTTCCAGATTCTATTACTTTATTGTAAAAGTTTAAGTCACGTGAAGAAATACCACGACTTGGAAGAAGTCATTAAACATGCAGCAGCCGGAAGACTTGCGAGAAGAGCGAGTTTACTGGGTACTCCTCCCGGGGCGGCAGGGGTGCCCGCGGGCACCGCGCCGCTGACACCGCGGCGCATCCTTTCCTTA